TCTGTCTTATCCGAATTTAATAGGAGAAAATTATTGGTCATCCAATCTTTTACATTTTTAACACACTCTGTTATCTTAGATAATTTAGAAGTTTCATCTGGTTTTGTTGAGATATATAGTTGAGTATCATCTGCATAACAGTGGAAGCTAATCCTGTATTTTCTAATAATATTACCAAGGGGCAACATGTATATTGCAAATAGCAGAGGACCTAGGACAGATCCTTGTGGCACTCCATATTTTACTGGTGATAATTGAGATGACTCCTCATTTAAATGAACAAAGTGGTAGCGATCGGACAGGTAGGATCTAAACCATCTTAAAGCCCGCCCTTGAATACCTGTATAGTTTTGTAATCGATCTATGAGTATGTCATGATCTATAGTGTCAAACGCAGCACTGAGATCAAGTAAAACTAGCAATGAGATGCAGCCTTGGTCTGACGCAAGAAGCAAGTCATTTGTAATTTTAACAAGTGCAGTTTCTGTGCTATGATGGAGCCTGAAACCTGACGGAAATTATTCATAGATATCATTTTTTTTGCAGGAAGGAGCATATTTAGCCATAAAACGGGAGATTTGAAATGGGTCAGTAATTTGCCAGTTCACTAGGATCTAGTTGTGGTTTCTTAATAAGAGGCTTAATAACCGCCAGCTTGAAGGGTTTTGGGATGTGACCTAGAGATAATGACGAGTTAATAATATTGAGAAGCAGTTCTTACGGGTAACAACTCTTTCAGTAATTTAGTGGGTACTGGATCTAATAAACACATTGTTGGTTTGGATGAAGTGATACGTTTATTTAGCTCTTCCCATCCTAAATTACAAGTGCACATTCATTACAATTATGTGCATGCAGGAGTATGCAGGTTTTATCTACATTTATGCTTTTCAGAAAAACGTTTTTCCAGTTTACAACAATATGCTGTCATGGGTTGAGGGCTGTAATGAAGCACATAACAAAGGAGATCCTCTGAAGTCTTTTTAATAAAACATAAAGCAAGAGAAAATACAACCACTCCAACTCAAATCAAACGGAAACAGAATCAATGCAAGACACAAGTGAAAGGAAAACTGAGGGCTTAAATACAAAGTAGAACAAAGGAAGAACCAAACACGACACAACACATTGTTGGTTTGGATGAAGTGATACGTTTATTTAGCTCTTCCCATCCTAAATTACAAGTGCACATTCAATACAATTATGTGCATGCAGGAGTATGCAGGTTTTATCTACATTTATGCTTTTCAGAAAAACATTTTTCCAGTTTACAACAATATGCTGTCATGGGTTGAGGGCTGTAATGAAGCACATAACAAAGGAGATCCTCTGAAGTCTTTTTAATAAAACATAAAGCAAGAGAAAATACAACCACTCCAACTCAAATCAAACGGAAACAGAATCAATGCAAGACACAAGTGAAAGGAAAACTGAGGGCTTAAATACAAAGTAGAACAAAGGAAGAACCAAACACGACACACCTGAACTGAGGACTCAAATTAATCAGTAACCATGGAAACAAACAAGCAGGGAACCGAGGAGAACTAAACTAATAGAAAGCTGACAGACATGAACAGAAACAGATCTGAAAACAAACAGAAAATGTGGCATGCAGGTGAGTAAATAATTGAATGTTTATTTCTGGATTAACTATCATTTTCACTAAAAGATGTCTCAGACATAAATTATCTACTACGTATTATCACAAATCTGATGTTATTGCCTGCGGCAAATATCCAATTTTTACTATGCATATTATTTATGCAAAGATTTTCAGAAATCACTTTACAGTATTATTCCCATATTATGTGTTTAGTCAACAGTTAATTTATTTCTACCCCATATATAATTGGGAAATCATCAAAACCTGTACTGGCATCCTGTGAGAGTATCCTGAATAAAGTCTCAGAATATACTGAGCTCTTGTACATCTCAGACAGCTCCTGTACATTCAGACTATGATAATATACTGCAATGAATCAGTTAGTGCAGAAGACAATCATTGCCGTCGACACAGGTAATTACACAGCCTAGGCATGGCTAACAAGCTACATAATAGCAACTGGATCATTGCTCACGGCTGGGAATTGATGGTGATGGGAAAAACAAAGTTAACGTTAACAAGACTTTGCACTGCTCTCTGTATAAATCTGAAATACAGGCCTTTTTTATTTCTGCTTTCACAGACAATTAAATAACAGGCCAGTTGCTTGTGAAATAGGCTTGTCAGACTTAAGACAGAGTCTGCAGAAATGGTTTCTTGAAACAGAACAACTGTGAGATATTCACTTATGACAGTCCCTTATGAAGCGTGGTTAGGAATGAGCTTCAAGTGGAGTTGGATTTACAGAGCATGTAGTAAAATCAGTTTTTTGTAAGATAACTAACAATTGAAGCACAACTAACAACAAAACTCTTATGTAACAAATGCTGTGCTGGAAATCCTTGACCTAATTTGGTGTTCCTGGTCAAAAATGACCAGCCTTTTAATAATTGCTTGTAAATCTCTCATTATGCTATAATATTTCCAAATCCTGCATTCAATCTTTTTGTCAACTTGTCTTCTTTCAATTTGCACAGGTTTTGTTTTTCTTTTTGGACTCAACTGGTCGTAGGCCTCATTGATCTGAGCTTATGTTTTTGAGTAAAAAAACAAACAAACATTTGTGTTTTTTTTTGTTTTTTTTTTTTTTTTAAATCAGATTTACGAAGCCTACGAGCAATCATTTCCAAAACAAATACAAAACCTGCACCTGTTAAAAATGTACTGGTACTTTTCTTCCTGGACATTATCCATTAATTTTACGGACATTTCTGTTCATAAAAAACAATGCAATGGAATGGAAAATTTAACACAAAATTTTAACACACAAAATTTAACAATAAAAACACCTCCAAAATAATAAATACAGAAAATTCCTTCGCATGAATACAGTAAATTATGCCCTTTTTTTCAGATTTCTTTTACAGTGTGTGCAATTGAAAGAAAACAAGCTGATAAAAAGATTGAATACAATATATTGTAATAATATAGCAAAACAAGAAAGTATTTTTGGAGGCCAGTAATTTTTGACTCCAAACACCACAAGTGTAACAAGGTAGAGGGAAAATATCCCCAAAAATTACAAAAATTCTAAAGAAAAAAAACAAGTTAATATTCACTGTGTGAGCAAAATCAGTTTTAGTCCAATGTGATAATATTAACTAGCGTTTTTGCCAAAAACAAAATCCTCTCTCGGTCAAAACGACTGGAACACAACATGAGGGTTAATATGCCTCATTTACTTGAAACTCTGAGACTGTCTGTACTGTAAAATAACTGTAACCAAACATAACTAGGAGTGTTATCATGGTTAACTTGTAAGCTCGACATGAGTTCTCAGAAGAGCAGCCAATCAATAATACAAAGTTTGATCACAAGTGCACGTTCTCTCCACCCCAGCACACGGATTAAGCTTCGCAAAAATCTTGTGACTGCAATATTCAGTCTGCACACTGTTTCAGGACAACATTTCGATATGGTAATGTACCTTCACTGTTTTTCAATTTTATTAATTTTTTTTTGTTGTTTTGATTTTTCATTGATAGCTTGTGCAAATATTGACTTGATGTTGACTAATCAGCAGTGTGGCTTTTTGTAGTGGTCTTTCCTTTGATTGATTTATTTTTTCTTCTTTTTTGGTTGCGTAGCTAATAATACTAGACAGAATGTGCAAGAAAAGCTGTCAAGATTGATCTATAAATAAAACATCATAGAGTGTTAAACAAAAACATGAATATTTTGTCTTTTTAACTTTCCCTCGTTAAAAAGTAGACTTCCACATACTTTTAAAAATAGTACATGTTATGAAAATAATTGCAACTGAATGAAACGCATTATAGTTTACATTTATATTGAATGCAATTATCTGAATTTTAGAGTGCTTTTGTAGTACTTTATATGTCATTTTATAATTACTTCTGTTGTTTTTGAAATATGGTTAAAGTACTGCTGAATGTTACTGACAAGAATTTATGGCAAACTAAAATATACTTTAATGTCTTTTCCTTTGAAACTTGTATGTCGTGTATTTAAATGCATTTGTAATAACACACTTATAATGATGGAGTTGCAATTCAGTGCATTTAAAATATCTTTGTAATATTCAATGTAATATTGAATAACACTTTTACAGTTATGTACTTTAGTATGTCAAATGTACTTCTTTAAAGCACTACAAAAGATAATTAAAACATGATCTAATTTAAAATCTACTTTTTAATTTGACATTATTGGCTCACTTTTTAAAAGTATATTTAAGTGTGTTAAGAAACACAGTCATGAAAGTGTCTCTCTTTAAGTAGACTTTTATATAGTTAATTTTATATCTTAACATGTTTTTTTTTTTTTATATATTCTTTCAAGATTTGAAGCACACTACAAGTGCACATTCAATATGAAGAACAAGTGTACACAGCAATTCAAAAAAAAAAAAAAAAATTTTCACATGGTTGTTCCATTTTGCCCTTAATGCAATCTAATCTGGCTGTGCTATTTCAAGCTAATGCAACTTTCCCTCACAAAGCTCCCTGGAAAAAAGCTTTGAAATGTGCCGAATGCAGAGAAGAGAAGAACAAAACTGAGAACTTTGATGTGTGCACTCACTGGAACTATTTCCTTGAATTGCTCCTCTATCAAAAATACTGCATTGCTAAAATTGCATGATTTCACTGATTCCACTCTTCATTCTAGGCTTTAAACTTCGTTTAATCCCCTACATTGTTTATGGTTGCATGAGTATATTTTATTTTATTTTATTTGGATTAATGTCTTGTATGATGGTTTATTTCTCTGTTATAGTATGATTAATATGAATGTCTCAGTCTGTGAGGACTTACAGTTGTGTTTATGTTAGCCTATTTTGTTCTGTTATGATGCTTGAAATGCAAAATAAAAAAAATTTAAAAAAAAAAACTCGCCCGGTCTACCAACAGACCCCATACATGTGAGCGAAAGCTGCTTTTATACCGGTCACATGACCTCACACGATCCTCTTCCGGTGACTCGCGGATATAAAAGAAGAAGCTCTGGTTCGCCGCCGCATCCTCCGACCCAGAACAATATCACACAAACACAGGTAAAACCGCTTATATTACATTTCAGTGTAATTCATGTGTAATGTAAGTGTAAGGTCTGTATGCAAGTAACGTTAGGGTTATGTATGTAAAGTAATGTGTTAGATATTATTTACGGGAGATAAAGGAGTTGAGAACACGGAGAATGAGCAGCGTGTATGTTTGTGTAAACCAGTGCCATTCAGACTGGGCTAGAAAATGAGAATAGGACTGGGCGATATGGTTAAAAAAAAATATCATGCTATAATATTTAATATCGTTCGGGTATCGGTAATTACTGAATTTTTTTTAATAACCTTTTTTTGAAGCTGCAGTCCTTAACTTTTTTTTTTGTTTTTTTTTTGGGTTTATCAATTATCCGAAATTAATTTAAGCAAATCCATAACCAGCCAGTGTTCAAACTATCGCCTTACTTTAGCCCGATTCACGGTAAGTTTGTAATGTTTTCTAATTTGAGTTGTACTGGTAGGATTTCGCGGGAAATATGAGCACGCCGCCGTTCGTCTTTGCGTCATTACGTCACGTGTGTAAACTCAAAGGAGTCCCGGCTAGTAGGCTATATCGCATGCGAGGATGCAGCAGGTGGCAGATCATTTATAGCCTTTTCTTTCAGCAGCTGGAATAATTAAACTTCTCATTTTGATGGCGGATTGTAATCCAGAAAGGATTGTTAATGAAACTCATGTAAGTGACTGAAATTAGGTTACGTTCCAGTTTTAAATTTGCATCTGATTACAGATACGTGGGATTACACAAGATTTCAAATAGAGTTGTATTTCAAAGAGAACCAGTTCTAAGGAACATTAATTTGCTTTTTGGGTTAAAAGAACAATTTCTTTATATGAAATTTGAATGGTATGACGACTATAGATCAGACTGAATCTACAAAACACTAATTCACACTATATACACTTAGTCACGCAATGTTGTTGATGTTAACATTAACCATTTGAGAACAAAGTATAACAATTATAATTTGCATGGTTTGATGTGATCTGAATTGAGTGATTTGTTGTCCACAAAAAAAGATTAAAACATAATCTAATTTAAAATCTACTCTGAAGTAACTTAATTTGACATTATTGGCTCACTTTTTAAAAGTGTACCTAAGTGTTAACTTAAGTGGACTTATTTTATATTATCTGCAAGTACAGGTTTTGTGTTTAAATATACTTGCAAGATTTGGAGCACACTACAAGTGCACATTCAATATAAAGCATGTTTGTTTTTCACAAGTGTACACGGCAATTCAAAAAAAATTTATATTTTTTCATATGGTTGTGATATTTTGCCCTTAATGCAATCTAATCTGGCTGTGCTATTTCAAGCTAATGCAACTTTCCCTCACAAAGCTCCCTGGAAAAAAGCTTTGAAATGTGCCGAATGCAGAGAAGAGAAGAACAAAACTGAGAACTTTGATGTGTGCACTCACTGGAACTATTTCCTTGAATTGCTCCTCTATCAAAAATACTGCATTGCTAAAATTGCATGATTTCACTGATTCCACTCTTCATTCTAGGCTTTAAACCGCAACATGGAGAAAATCATCCTAAAATTTCCTCTGATGTTGCTGGCGCTGCATATACAAAGTGGAGAGTTCTCTGACAGTCCTGTTCTTGAGATCGTCGAAGCTCCAAAGCCAGAAGTCGTGGAGTTCAACAACACAATCTACGGCACTTGTGAAGTAACTCCCGTCCCTAATTTACCAGCCAGCCAGCCACAGATCTTTGGGCAGGTGCTTTTCAAGCAGGTCTTTCCCAATGGAACGCTAGCAGTGAAAATCAACCTCCATGGTTTGCCTGCCGATGATCAGCAAGCGCGCGCCATCCACATCCATCAGTATGGAGACCTCAGTCAAGGGTGCGTCACTGCTGGTCCTCATTACGATCCGCGGGCGGTTGACCATCCCGGTCATCCCGGAGACCTGGGCAACTTTGTTTCCAAGCAAGGAGTTATAAGGAAGTTCCAGAAGCTCCCAGAGGCCAAGCTGTTCGGGGGTCAGTCCGTTCTGGGACGTGCGGTGGTTGTTCATGAGAAGGAGGACGATCTGGGAATGGGGTCAGATGAGGAGAGCAAACGCAGTGGGAATGCTGGGAAGAGAATCGCTGGCTGTGTGATTGGCATTACTACTCCACGTCTGTGGCAGGAGACTGAAGGGCTCCCCGGGGAAGAGGCGGAGGAGGGAAACTAGAGTAAAAGATGAGAGGAGCAGAAGAAATAATGCATTGTGTCTTAGATTGATACTGTGTTTGAAATAGGTCAGTAATTATTAACCTTAAAAGGGATAGTTCAGCCAAAACGAACATTCTGTCATTTAATGGTGGTAACCAAACTGTTTCTGGTAGCCATTGACTTCCATAGTATGGAAAAAATACTATGGAAGTCAATGGCTCTTGTCAACTGATTAGCAACATTCTTCAAAATAACAGAAGAAAGAAACTCTCACAGGTTTGGAACAAGTGGAGGGTCAGTATGCAATAGTGATGCAATAGAAGAGCCATTCTGGCTCCACAAAGAACATTTCATAAAAGAATCATATTTTATTAGTGTGAAGTGCTTTATTAAGAACTTTTGTGTAATGGAAAGGCTCCACTAAATGTTCTTCATGGAATCATTGACACCAATAAAGTTGTAAGTGTTGTATATTCTTTGTCTGTGTCCTGCATTAATATAATATTAAAAAATACCTTTAAAATGTCCTAGATGTATTGCCATAACAAACAAAAGTATTTAACATTCTGGTGCTCTTTAGCCATTTTTGACTGAAAAATGTCTTAAAATTATTATTATTTTTTACTTAATCGGAATGGTACAAAACTTGCTAAAGGTTTTGGAAACTTGGAACACTTGTACTCCTTGCAGTCAAAAATGAACGCATTAGAAACAAATGGGAAATGAACCATTTGCACCCAAACCAAACCTTACCTAAAGCTCATCCAGCAATTCATGTTTTTTTTTTTTTTTTAAACCTTACATGTAATAGTTCTAGTGTTGTCAGTCATATGAAACATTTAGGGGTTTAAATTATAACAAGTAGGGGGTTTGCCATGCCAGTTTCGCCCACATTTATGTATATACTGTATACACATTGTATCAAAACATAAAATAAAAGAAACAGATCAGTATTTGGGGGTAAGTCTATAGTTTAGCCAAAACGGTAATAAATGCAGTCTTAAGATGCAGTCTAGACTGCTGTACCACTGTGACAAAAGCTGTCTCTGTTCCCATTCTGCACAAGTATTTTGAGCAGATAATGTGAAACTGGGCCAAATATCACATTGCATAACCGTTACCAGCTGATCGACATCAGTGCAATAACATAATTCATGCAAATAGACTACAATGCTCTTTTGTTCAAGTATGTCATAAATTAAAAAAAAAAGCTTCTAATTTTTATTATTATATATTTAACTTCCATTGTTTCCAAACTTGTTATACTGATGTATATACAGTATGTATGTATTCAAAGCGACAGATTGCAGCCAACAGAAATGACAAATAAATAAATAATATCTGAAATCCAGAATAAGTCAAGAAGTTTTCCTGGCCACTGAGAGACTCGGTTTCATGATTTGTGCTGAACAACCACCGACAGACAAGCTGCATCAATTCCCAATGCATAAACAAATCAAACAGAATATAAATAAGGGCGTAAAACGCAATGTGCCGTGCGCTTCCTCTTAAGGTCTGTTTGGGACAGTGCTCTTGAACGGAGAAGCGCTGAAATAATTGGATGCAATGAATTACTTTCAGAAGGGAGATGTGATGTCTGCTGTGAGAGGCCGCCATGGGCTAAGCCAACAGATTTGAGTTTAGGATTAGTGCTGTGCTTGAACTAATAATGTTTATGCATAAAGTCTGAATCGGGATTGCTCTAGTGTTTGCCAGATATCGTCAACTAAAAAAGAATTATAATATTTTACTGCGAGTTGATGTATTCAAAGCTGTGAGCTGATTCATGGACGCTGCACATGCCTGATGAGAGACTGACTCCACCGGAGTCCTTAAATATTGGTAGAAATAAGCTTACAAGCAAAACTACTATTTCCATTGCTCACAGCTTAGGGCAAAACACAGAACTTTGAGTTGTTACTGTAGTACATTTCTTAAAGGAATAGTTCACTTTAAAATGAAACTTTGCTGGAGTTGTTCTCATGCTCCGACCATTCAAGATGTAGATGAGTTTGTTTCTTCATCAGATTTGGAGAAATGTAGCATTGCATCACTTGCTCACCAATGGATGCTCTGCAGTGAATGGGTGCCGTCAGAATGAGAGTCCAAACAGCTGATAAAAACATCACAATAATCCACAAGTAATCCACACCACTCCAGTCCATCAATTAATAATCTTGTGAAGTGAAAATCTGCATGTGTGTAAGAAATAAATCCATCGTGAAGGCCATGTAAATTTCAAACCATTTCTTCCATCTAAAATATGAGTCCATTATCCATAATAATGCTTCCTCCAGTGGAAAAGTCATCTCATATGAATCAGGAGACAATATGAACTGATTAACCACCGTTTAAAAGAGAAAATAGTGTGGAAAAATGTGTGGATTTTGATGTGAGAGACGACAGGAGATAGACTTTTTCACTGGAGGAAGTGTTATTATGGATATTATGGACTTGAATTTTAGCCAGAAGCAACGATTTAAAGTAAAAATGCCTTAACGATGGATTTGTTTCTTACAAACACACAGCTTTTCACTTTACAAGATGTTAACTGATGGACTGGAGTGGTGTGGATTACTTGTGGATTATTGTGATGTTTGTATCAGCTGTTTGGACTTTCATTCTGACGGCACCCATTCACTGCAGAGCATCCACTGCTGAGCAAGTGATGCAATGCTACATTTCTCCAAATCTGATGAAGAAACAAACTCATCTTCATCTTGGATGGCCCAAAGGTGAGGACATTTTCAGCAAATTATCATTACAATATTAAAATAGCATAACCCAACATAAAAATGACATAACAAGTGCAACAGGCTTTCCAGACGTTTTCTTACACATTTCACCTGCTGCTCTGGTGACTTTCTGATCTCTCATGAAACACTGGTGTTAGCACAATAAAGTTATGCCAAATATGAATAAATTCATGGCGTAATATGCTAATGTGTTTAATATTCTGAACTAAATATGCAAAATATATGTTTTAAAAGTAAAATATTATATATTTTACCAAGAAGATAATTGTTTTCCTTTATTATATAATTTCTGTCTTTTCTTTAATAAAACAAAAGGGGATAAAAAAAAAAAAGACACTTCCATCACCATACTTCCATCGAAATCCATTATTTTGATTATTTATGAGTAGGAACTTAACAGTACGCGCAGGCTTCTCAAAATGCATGTGCTCCCGTAAAATGAATCCCTCAAGATTTCACACAACCATGCTCTCACCTGTTTCTGAATATCTTTATGTTTCCCAATGAATAATTCAACAGTGTATGCATGCATCCTCCTGTACAAATGCAGTGTTTCTTGTCTAATAGGACCAAAGAGCAGCTGTTGAATATGTGTAACAGTGTGCAGACAGTGACTGACGAGCTGCCGGCGCAGCAGCGGGGAGATGCAGGCGAACAGAGGACTCAACCGGAGTCACATCAAACTTCTGGTTTTATTCCTAGTTAAGACGTTTTACAGCGGTGGAGTGAAAGGCAGCCAGTGGCAGCAGGGGACTCGTCTGTGACAGGAGATGGTGGAGATGACAGCACTTCACCATCTACTTGTGTAGAGATCCTACAGCGCATGACTGAACCCGTGCTGCACTGTAACTAGTGCTCTTTGTCTTGCTTTTATGGTACAAAATCTGTTACTGGCGTGGTACCCTTCACAAAAGGTACAACTTTGTACCTTATTTAGCCTTAAGGGATTCATATTAGTACCTTAAAGAAACATATTAGGACTATTACCTAAAGTTTACATAATATTTTTTGGAAGGGTACGGCCCATTTTTGTACCTTTTTTTTTCCTGAGAGTGTAGATACACTTTTAAAAAATGATTTTGGATTATTGGAGTATGTTTTATGAGAAAATACTATTTTAGTCTTTCTGCTTCAAAATTCCTGCTTAAATTGCTTACCATTTCTTTGTAATTATTTGTGAAATTTACTAGCAATTTCTGACTAAAAATTGAGTGATAACAGAGTAAAAAAAAATTCAGTATTACAAAACCTATTTTTCTTTCAGTGTCCTCTGGGCATACACAAATATTGACTAAGTCATCTATCTATCTATCTATCTATCTATCTATCTATCTATCTGACCGTCTATCTATCTATCCATCTATCTGACCGTCTATCTATCTATCTATCTATCTATCTATCATCTATCTATCTATCTATCTATCTATCTGTCCGTCTATCTATCTATCTATCTATCTATCATCTATCTATCTATCTATCTATCTGTCTGTCTGTCTATCTATCTATCTGTCTATCTGTCTGTCTGTCTGTCTGTCTGTCTGTCTATTACAAAACCTATTTTTCTTTCAGTGTCCTCTGGGCATACACAAATATTGACTAAGTCATCTATCTATCTATCTATCTATCTATCTATCTATCTATCTGACCGTCTATCTATCTATCCATCTATCTGACCGTCTATCTATCTATCTATCTATCTATCTATCTATCTATCTATCTATCTATCTATCTATCTATCTATCTATCTATCTATCTATCTATCTATCTATCTATCTATCTATCTATCTATCTATCTATCTATCTATCTATCTATCTATCTATCTATCTATCTATCTATCTATCTATCTATCTATCTATCTATCTATCTATCTATCTATCTATCTATCTATCTATCTATCTATCTATCTATCTATCTATCTATCTATCTATCTATCTATCTATCTATCTATCTATCTATCTATCTATCTATCTATCTATCTATCTATCTATCTATCTATCTATCTATCTATCTATCTATCTATCTATCTATCTATCTATCTATCTATCTATCTATCTATCTATCTATCTATCTATCTATCTATCTATCTATCTATCTATCTATCTATCTATCTATCTATCTATCTATCTATCTATCTATCTATCTATCTATCTATCTATCTATCTATCTATCTATCTATCTATCTATCTATCTATCTATCTATCTATCTATCTATCTATCTATCTATCTATCTATCTATCTATCTATCTATCTATCTATCTATCTATCTATCTATCTATCTATCTATCTATCTATCTATCTATCTATCTATCTA